CAGCATCGCCTTTTTGTGAGTGCGGCTATCCTCCGCATCCATGTGCGATCGGGCTCTGGCCATAGGTTGATTAAAGTCGGTCACTCGGTTCATAATGAGAGAATCAGACAATCTCTCATTTTTAGACCCGCAATGATCGCAGCCATGGCGACCATGTTGCCAAAGTCGTCCACTTGTAGCTGCTTGCTTACAAACTTATGAAGTATTCCCTTAAGGTATCCTTGGTCTCTGCCTAATCTATAGCAGGAGAGCAAATGATACATTCTGTTTTGTATCCGCTAGAAAATTATGCACAAACTTTTGGCTATACTCGAAGCTGTGGATGGATTTTCTTGTCTAGGGAATTCTACATTTTTGCAGTGCCACTGAGAGTGACAGGAAAAGCTTTGCAGATGACCGGATCGCTCACCTGCTGCATGCACATTAAATCAAAAAAGTCATGTGTGCTCGACTAGGTCGCCTTCATCCTTGCATTTCTCGATGTGTGGCATCTTGAATTTCGAGAGCGTTCGTGATCCAATTAGCGAGAGGTGTTCCCTCCGATGACATCAGCGACTGCATTGAACGTCCGGTCGTAGACAGAAGCCAAGTTGGTTGTGGAGGGGTTGACCCTCGTTGCTGAGATTTGAGTCGCGTATGTGTCTCACCTCGCGACGTTGCCCGCGCAGCCTGTTCAAGGCTAAGGCTTGAACTGTCACCTGTGGCCTCCATGTTTTGTTGAGGTTGCCGTGGATCGGCAACAAAATGGGTTTGTTCTCGATGTGGTTAGGGAGTAGCTTCCCTAACCCGCTCCTCTTGCTCCTGTCTCTAATGATGTCCTTCATGGAGGAGTGACAGGTGATGGAGGAGGCTGAGAGGGAAGAATACGGTTGAGGAGTTCGTTCGTGAATGAAGTGAACTATTGCTAGAGAGATTGAGCTATCCCTTGAGTGGATTCATCTAACTGGGCCTGAGTGACATAGCTGGAGTTGGAAGTTTGTCTAGGGTTTGGAATCGAAGATCGGTCAGGATCAACCATTTTATCGGACAAAGAAAAGACCCCACATAGCGTCAAACTGCTTATGTCAGATAGTTAATTATAGAGGTAATTGGACATTTGAAGGAGTTTAGGGTCCTTTGATTTTCTTTGATGGCTGATCAACTGAGGGGAAAAAGATTCATGTTAGAGGACCGGAGTTTGTTGCTTCGGCGTACCCTCCAACGTTCAAGTCAGCGATAGATTAAGCAAATTTACAGAATTTAGTTTCAAGGAGTAATTTAGCAGTTTTTTGTTTACCATTGAATAGTGGAGATTGCCCACCATTTATAGAGGATTGGTAAGGGCACATCAGTAATTTGACTAGGTCGCTTCAATCAGCTGATCAAACCATACTTTACACGTGTCAGCAGCCGATTGAATGAGTCACATTCACTTATAGTGCGACAGTGATAGAACGACGGAAGTGGTGGCGTAGTCCGAGGAGTCATAACTTCGGCCCAAAGAGTCATAATAACTCAACTCAACATTAAATGCGATGGTGATTGAGAGATGAAGTATGACTGTTGAAGGTGATAGGTCGTCTTGTCATTCGAGACATTCTCTAGCGAGAGCCCATGTAAAAGACGCCTTTTGTCTCAGCTGTTTGTAGCATATCCTAACTCGAAGACCCCTTTGTCTTGGATTTGGGTCGCTAGATGGGTTAGCGATTCTCACACTTGGGTCGGGTCTTTAGATTTGTGGGACTCAGCTAGTTAAACATGACACTTGGCCACCTCTTGGGAGTTCATTACACTTAGTAATTCTTAGCGTATAACAAGAGGATATAAAAGTACTTTTTGATAACATCAAAATTCCAATATGTATCTCTAAAATGACCCTGTGAGTGTAAATAAGATATAAATGTTACGCATGTAGCTTAGTTTATTATGATTTACGTCTATACTTCACATATTTAATACTTATTTACTAATATGGACACGAATGTATCTATTGGTAAATTATTATATCATTATATATAATATGCTCAAAAATTTTACAAACTTTTAAAGTTAAAATCCTTAAATTATGTGGCTTACGCCTCATACTTTGAAGCTTACACTTCACTTCATTAAAGGGTCCAAAGTTTCACCTTGCACTTCTGCTTTTTTAAACATCGGTTTACACCCCCCCAAATAAGAGAGGAAATTCTCATAGGAAAACAAATGGCAATTTCGAACTTCGTTGTTCAAATGTGTTCTTCTTGGTTTGCGAGGAGAAGATTGAAAGTATTGGAAACCAAGAAGCTTGCCAGGGGTGTAGATTTGGTGAACTTTACCCAGCCTCATTTGATGAAACTTCATTTTGGCAGCCACAGGGTGGAGGCAGATTGGGACTTGAATGTTGGATTTCATTTTGAGATCTGATTTTATAAAATATTCAGGTAACATTGTATTAGGAACCTGAAACTCACTTGTGCTAAGTTTTTATTTTCTACTAATCTAAATCCCTATCCTTATAGCGGGCAAGAAGTTTTCTCACCTTTTTCCTTCCTCTCATCATAATCTCCATCCACCAATGACCATTACCTCTTCGTTGCTGCATTTGCCACCTCTTTTCTTGTATGCTCGTTACATGGCCATCCTCCTTCATTACCAACATCACTACTTTGTTGGTTTTTTTCTTCTTCTTCACCACACGAATAAACAAACTTATGTCAGCTTAGGGCTTGGCCAACATGATGGAGAGCTTGGGTGCCCGGGGTCAGGAGAGAGGTCAGTACAAAATGGTAGGGCTCGAGATGATGTCAAACTTGCATTAATTTGCTCACATACAATGTGAGCATATGCTACATATGATTTACAACATTGAGAACCTTATCCATCACATTGTTATCGAGGCGCAAGGCGCAATGCGGGGCGCAAAGGCCCCTTACGCGCACCATGCGCAAGGCGCACAACGATGCGCGCGCCTCACTGAATTGAGGCTCACAACTCAAACTAATATTTTTCAACATAAGATAAAAAAAATATATAAGCAACATGTTTATAAATTGTCACATAAAAGACCAAGAAATATAATTTCACCTACTAATTCATGAAAGAGTCTTAATTAGCATGCATAACATAGATAAGTTCATAAGTTTCCACAAATCAGAATGCAAAATAATTTCCAACATAAGCAAAAGTCTATGAAGTAAAACAAGCAAGTAACAAATAAGAAATATGTATTTTTATTTAAAATATATGTATTTTTAAGTAACAATTAAGTGATTAAAAAAACATGATCCTTCATAATTTTCTAGTTAGCATTCTTAATTGATATTTGTTAGTTAGCATAAAAAGATGGAGAATGAAGATAACAATTATATATTTACATGTTCATAATTTTCTAGTTAGCATGCTAATTAGAGAAGGAAGTTACAATTAGCAAACAAGTATACTAAATTACTAATTATTGTTTTATTTTTATAGGTTAAACATGAAAAGATGGAGAATGGATTAGCAACTAGCAAGAAAGAGTCTATTACATGACGTAAATATGTAATATGTAAATTATTTTAAAAAAAAACAGAAGAAAGAGTCTATTACATGACACATGCGTTAAGCGCACACGAGGCGCGCGCGTGTGCATGCAGCGCCCCGCCTCTGGTGCGGGGCGTAATTGTCCCAACCCGCAGCGCCCCACGCCCGGGGCGCCCGGGGCGTGCGCCTCGATAACAATGATTTATCAAGTAATACATGCAGATGCATGATGCAACCACTGACCTATGGTGCAAGAAGCAGCACATCTCAGACCAAAAATAAGCAAACACAAGTAAACCACATTCTCAAGGAAGCTTAACCATTCAAACCCTTTCCCATCAAAATGTAATTAGATGCATAACAGCTAAGGAGCTAAAACTCAAAAGGCAAGCATTCTCCTTAAAGAGTCGGACAATGACAATATCTACGACCAACTACAAACTGGCTCAACCCACTTGACACGTTACCAAAGTCTGAGCCAAAGCAATAATGCGCAAGATGGGATCTATAAAACCTTGAAGGCCAATCTGAAATTTGTGCTCATGCATGCAAGGACCTCAGCCTCTCAATTCTCTCAAGTAGAAGAGAGTGCATGTGAATCAAAATGAAGTTAGAGCTACGGAGCCAACACTCAAAAGTCAAGAATTCTCCTTAAAGAGTCGGACAATGACAATTCCTACAACCAGCTACCAACCTGAGTCAACCCTCTTGAGGTGTTACCAAAGTCTGAGCCAAAGCAATAATGGGCAAGATAGGATCTATAAAACCTTGAAGGCCAATTTGAAAATTTTGCTCATGCACCCAAGGACCTAAGCCTATCAATTCTCCCAAGTAGAAGAGAGTGCAAGTGCATCTCATCCCTTACTAAGTCAAAATATATGCCAAATAACCAAACAGGTACATATTCTCTATAATAAGTATCACAAAAAATTGATTTGCTCAAGATTTTCAAGAACTCCTTCCAAGCATGAATTTCTGCCACATATAGTACCTTAGGAGAAGAGCCTGACTCAATGGTAAAAGTGCACAAAAAATACAACTATTTGCATAGTAACAAGAAGTTAGACACTTCACGCTTATGAATCACATAAAAAGAGCATTGTATCGTCCATCCTATAATTAGAAGGGTGTTCCTTAGTTGCATGAATTTAAAAGCATCATCCAGGAAGTGGGTGTCAGGTTAGGGGTTTGAGGAAAGGATAATAATCAATTGTACTTGTCACTTCTTTTCTCCAGCTTCGCTTTTGAGTTGTAAGCCAAGATAGGGCTGAGGCTTAAATATAGATGATTATGATAATGAATTAGTACAAATTCAAACAGTTCAATTTACAGTTTTATTTTGAGCCTGCTTTACAATATATCTGTATTTTAAATTTGGACCCATGTAAAATAACAAGGTAACTATAACTAGCTTCACACTAAACAGCCCAAAAATTATTGAGTCACATACAAAACGCATAGCTAACAGCATACCATATGTAAGCGCTTGGAAACAGAATATGGACTGTATAAAATAATACCTGAAATAGAAAATATTGGCAATGGTCATTCGAGAGTGCCTGAGAAGATTTGATAATTTGATGCAAGTCCGTGTCCATGAGATCATAGACCAGATAGACATCCTTGAAACATCTGTTGGCTGGCATCATTATATCCTTCAAACCAATGACATTTTCATGGTGGATGTGTCGAAGTAGCTTCAGCTCTCTCAGAGTTCTAAGTGCATCAACACGATTCTCAAATGCGTTGTTAATTTTCTTAATTGCAACCTTCTCATTAGTCACCCTATTGATCGAAGAACACACAATCCCATAAGCTCCTCTACCTATGGGTTTGATGGGTACATACTTAGTATCAATCTCGAAAAGGGTTTGCCACATCATATAGTAGTGTTTTCCTCGGTTTCCCATGCCATTTGGAGGATCAACCAATCTAGCCATTCTCTCTAGATTACAGCACCAACAACATCAGCGAAATTCAAGTAAAATATGTCTAACACAGAAAGAATAAGAATTATAGTATTCGCAAAAGCATCATTACCCCAGTTTTGGAACATATTTTCTGCTATAAAATAATAGTGTGGAACATACCTAACCCATAATATCTAATCAACAAATAATAGCTCTAAAGTTATCACAATGAGGAACTAGGGCGGTCAAAACCTCATAAGAAATTGAACACAAATTCATAAAGAACAAGACAAATAAAAAACCTGGACTTTCATTGTCATTAAATATCTTAGTGTGCAATATTCCTAACATATTTTAATGAGACAAATGCCTTCATTGAAATTAACTCGTGATACTAACGAATGTCTGATACAGATTCAAAAGTTAAAGAACAGTAATATATTAAGAAAAATACATACTAATGAATGCTCATAGTAGTTCATGTACGATCAAACGTTTATTGAATTCTGGAACAACCTAGAAATGTTTGATGTGTTAATGCTTCTACTGAATGATTGTACTTCACAAATGTTTAATGAATTTTGCAAAATTTTTTATAATTTTCTATATTATTACTGGAAGGTAAGAGTAAATAACTACGAAAAGAAAGGTCTGACAGAAGTTAATGATTTAAATTTTAAAAATAACTGGAAAAAAATGTCATTCCAGAATAACTTGAAGCATACTTACAGTTGTATTTATAACTAGATCACTCCCAAGTTCCAATATTTACACAAATCCAAGTAAAAATCCCCTTAAACTTTCAAGCTCGGATCACTTCCTCACCTAAAACCCTCCTAAAAATGTCAAACAAACCCTAATTCGACCGGTGTCCCCACCTCAACAGCCGCCATCACTTTCAATTTCATAAAAATTTGAACACAGACGATCAAAATTCGTGCTCCAATCTTCCCAATTTTGCTCAAATTTAGCCCTAGACCCCAATATCTCCACTGATTAGAGATAATTTTAGAGAGAGATAGAGAGATGAGCTGGCGCGAAGGAAGTAATAAAATAAAAGGGGCAAGCATCCGTACCCGACCCGGTACCCGTACCCGTTAAGTGAAGATGAACTGTATTCCCTACAGTAATCACAGTTGGGCCTTAGGGCATCTCCAACCTAGCCTCATTTTGGTGCAAACAGTGCTTTTTGTTGCACTGTTCCTTCTCCAATCCAGTCCCATTTTCTGCTCCATTTTGGTGCAAATGAACAGTGCTGCACCAAATATGGCGTCGCACTGTTCATCCGCCCCATTGCTGTTCACTTTTTTAAAAAAAATTTAAATATTTGTTTTTACCTCTCAATTAATATAAAAATAGATAAAAGGGAATAAAGTGAGAATATACTGAGAATATTCTTTTTTGGTACAAAAAATGGTGCAATAGGTTGGAGATGTATTACTGTTTGATGTGACTTTTGCACCATTTTGATGCAAAATTTGCACCATTTTGGTGCAATGGGTTGGAGATGGTCTTAGTAAGGTGCGCTCTTTAGGGGCGCCGTAAGGGGCTCTTTATGGGCAGACTTCCTAGATGAAGCTCATAGGATGAGAATTAATTTAATCCAAGATGGAAAATGCAATATTTTTTCCCCTTTTTTGAAAAAATAATAAATAATGATAATAGTAATTATTGGAAGAGATAGTAACCAATAGACAGGGCTGTACCTAGGAATTTTGGGGTCCAAGGCGAAATATTATATGAGCCCTAAATGATACAATTCATAATAGATTTTATCTAATTCTTCTTATCTTTTGAGCTGCAAAATTACTAATTAAAGTTTTATATTCAATATTTTCTAACATATTATTTTTGATAGATAGTATTGCTAAACCAATCAATCTATCTTGCAACATGGTCGATCTTAAATAAGATTTTAATAATTTTAATTTTGAAAAACTTCTTTCAGCGGAAGCAACTGTTACGGGTATAGTCAATAATACATGATAAGCAATACAAGTATTTGGAAAAGAATCTAACCACTTTATATAGTTCAACACTTCAATTGAACTATTAATCTCTACTTTTAATATTTCCCTAAGCACTCTCAATTCTGAAAACAAATCAAGTCCATAATATCTAAATGTTCATCATGTTTTAGTGCATTTTCGAGTTCAAGACAATGTTCTTTCAATTCAATATCATCTAAAGCTTTTAATTTTTGCAAATCAAACAAAAAACCAACAACTTTCATACGTTTTAAATTGTTCAAACCTACTTTCAATTGAGTTAAGCGATTTATCAACTATGTATAAGAAATATTCAATACAAAAAGATTCTTCAACGTTAAATATTGTTTCATTACCAATATTTTCATCAAATTATTTTTTTTATGAATTTTACGTTTTTTTACAAAATATACGTTGTACGTTCATTTCATTACCAAGTTCTTTAGTTGAATTCAAAGTAGACATAAAACCATTTTGTCTATAATTTTATAAATATACAATAAGATCATTTAATTGATCTATGACAATATCAATATGCATATCTTTAGATTGTAAGATTTTACCAACTGAATTAACAACAAACAGTATGGCATACCAAATATTTATAGCTAATAAGAATTCAAAATTTTCAATCTCATAAGTTGCTAAGCTATTGGCTTCACTTTTTATCTTTAGATCTTTACTAATTTCTGCTAATTGAATCAAAGAATCTCTTATATTTGGAGCTTGAAATTTTATTGCTTTAACACTTTCAGTTCGACCTTCCCATCTAGTTTGACATAAAATATTGAACTCCATGTGAAAACTTAAACTAGAGCACCTAATGAGTATACCATCTACGACATTTAAAACAAAAATTTATTCTCAAATGGCAAAGTAAATGCATCAGCTTCTTCTAGTATGAAACAATTAACACAAAAAATCCGTACGCATCTAATTTTGATAATAGCTACATATCATACTCAAATTTGAATCCAGTATATCCATGAAAGATGCTTGGAAAACTAAAAATATCAAAGAAACGAGACATCATGTTATTTGTTCTAGATTACTTGAGAGAGATTAACAAGCAAACCCTAGAAATCGCAAAGAAAGGGGGAAAAGGAGTCCCCTTTGAGAGAGGACCGCTACCTGTTCACAAAGAAACCCTAGATTCTGAAATAGAGAGGGAATTTAGAAGAGATTGCAAATATTATTTATAGGTCACTGTGAATGACTCGTGAACATCCGATGAATGAGCAGTGTAATTAGGATTTCGAACCCCAATAACGGATTAGGTAGGCGTTAACAACCGAACCGACCCTACCCGCAAGCACCGAACCCTCTCGACTCTGGAGAGGAAGCTGCTTATATTTTATAAATTTTTGCATCATTAGGAGATGGCTGGAGCCTGACGTTGAATCCCGGGTGGGCCCTACCTAAGCTGAGGCCCAAGGCGAATGTTTTAAGTGCCTTAAGGTAGGGCCAGCCCTGCCAATAGAGTTGATCTTATGTATTGAATATAGAAAATTAAACGAATTGAAAACAAAGGAGGTTATTTTAACATAACTTAAAGATTTTGTAATTAACTCTCTGAGTACTTTATATGTTTAATTTATGATCATTATTAATTTAAATATATCTAAATTTCAATAACGAAATGAATTAATGCACTGTAGAGCTATATTTCTATTGTGAAGATGAGTGGGAGTTCTATCAAAACCCCGCATCGTGCAGGGTCCATTTGTGCCAAATAGGAGGCAGTGTAATCACTAAATTGCACCCCTCCAAATATAATACTCAGCTCAAAACATTCTGCACCATGTGGAGTATTCTTACACAATTTCTATTCACTGAAGATACAATATATAATTAGTTTTCAGTACTGAAATGACGTTTTTTTGTTAAAACAAAATAATTGTAAAATGTCCTTTACATCCCCTAAGTAAGTACTAAACATCTAATTGAAATTTTTTATATTTGACATATTCTTAGCGAAAATTTCCTTTGGATCAAATTGTCGCGCGCCTTTGCGGAAGCCTTGCACGAACTCACAACGAACCTGTGATCACGAGTAGAAGAAAGCCAAACACTTGCACAAACCAAGCCAATTACGACAAATCAAACCAAACACAAGGATATACGTGGTTCGGCAATTGCCTACGTCCACGGGGAGAGGATGGGGAGATTTCACTATATGGAGGAGAAATACAACGGGTTACAACTCACAAAATCACTCAAATATAACCCTAACCAAAGCTCTCAACTCCCTCACAATATCTCCCTCTCAAAGTGCTCAAAACAATGCTAAATCTCTTCTTTTCTCTCCTTAAGAAACCCTAAAAAACGTGGTCCTATTTATAATAAAACACAATCCCAAACAAAGGAGGATTCCTCAACAAATAAGGATTCTAAAAACGAGTCTGCCACACCCTGCACCATGGGTGTGGCAGAGGGTGTGGTGCAGGAGTGGTGCAGGACAGATTCTGCCACACCCTGCACCGTGGGTGTGGCAGAGGGTGTGGTGCAGGACAGACTCTACCACACCCATGGCAGACACCACACCAGGGTGTGGTGGAGCCTGTTTTGAGTTATTCTTCACGTTTTTCACAATTCCTTCGCCGTTTTCACAATTCTCCACCTCGGCAAAGTGTTCCCAACAATGAGCCGACACAAACATGAGCACCAATGTGTCGTCTCTCCAAACTCGGCTACACCAATGTGGTTGCCTACGTACCCCCTCTCCCAAGGGATCAAGCCGCCCGTAGTTCATCCAAATGGCCGCCAACGGCCTCAACAATTACGAATGTGCAACAAGTTTCGACAATGATCAAACTTGTTGCTCGGAACCACCTTAGTGAGCATATCTGCCGGATTATCCTTCGTGTGGACTTTCACAATTTCCACATCGCCATCTTCAAGAACATCCCGAACGAAGTGATAACGAACGTCAATGTGCTTCGTCCTCGCATGAAAAACCTGATTCTTCGCCAAATATATAGCACTCATGCTATCGCAATGAATAGTGACGGATCGCTGCGATATACCAAGTTCTTCCAAAAGTCCTCGAAGCCAAATAGCCTCCTTCACAGCCTCCGTAACTGCCATATACTCTGCCTCCGTCGTAGACAAAGCCACCGTCGACTGTAAGGTGCATCTCCAACACACCGGCGCACGGGTCAAAGTGAACACATACCCCGTAGTAGACCGGCGCTTATCCAAATCCCCGGCATAATCCGAATCAACATAGCCAATGCATAGCTGCCCACCTGTAGTGTCCCGCTCATAAACCAAACCAACATTGAGCGTACCTCTAATGTACCTCAAAATCCATCTCACGGCGTCCCAATGACCCACTCCTGGATCGTGCATGTATCTCGACACCATGCTCACCGCCTGTGACAAATCCGGCCTCGTACATACCATCGCGTACATCAAGCTCCCAACTGCGCTCGCATATGGAGTCTTCGTCATCAACTCACGGTCTTCAACTGACTTCGGTGAAAGGCCAGCTGAAAGCTTCAAATGGGCTCCCAACGGTACACAAACTGGCTTCGTATCCATGCTAACATGGAATCGCTGTAGAACCTTCTTCAAATAAGCCACCTGTGTCAAACAAATCCTGCCCTTCTTCTTATCTCTGCCGATCTCCATCCCTAAAATGCGCTTCGCCTCGCCCAAGTCCTTCATCTCAAACTCATTCGAAAGCTGAACTTTCAACTCATCTATAGCTGACCTGGAACTAGAAGCAACCAACATGTCATCGACATAAAGCAACAAATAAATGTACGCACCTCCTCTCAACTTGCGAAAATACACGCAAGGATCAAACTGGCTCCGAGTGTACGAATGACCAAGCATAAAACCATCAAATCGCCTATACCACTGTCGAGGAGACTGCTTCAAACCGTATAGCGATTTCTTTAGCCTGCAAACCAACTTATCTTTCCCTGCAGCTCGGAATCCCAATGGCTGAGTCATATATATTTCTTCATCAAGATCACCATGAAGAAATGCTGTCTTCACATCCAACTGATCTAACTCCAATCCATAC